TGCTCTGATACCAGTTGATGGGGATATAAACAGGAATAACCTTTGTATAGGAACAAATACTAAAAGACCAAAATACGCAACGGAATAAAATGGAAACACAATCAAACAGAACACCAAGATATACGTGGAAAACCCCTTCAATGTGAAGGGAAAAAACCACGGGGCAAACTAGAGATAATCCACTATGAGAATAATGAATGTACAAATCTCAATCTCTTGCCCAAAACCCTAGCAACAACCACAAGAGAATAACTGGGATACAAGGATCACGTCACTGCCCACAATATCTAAAACCTCCCAAGTAATCACAGCAAGAGCCTACTGTAGATTTGATCTAACTTGAGATGAGAACACTGCTAGATGATTGAGAACAGTCTCTCTGCATTGTCCTTGTCTTCTTCCCTTTCTTTCTCTTCCTTTTCTGCCTTGTTCTCCTTCTTCTCTTTGGAATCTCGTGGCTTCAAAGATCTGTCTCGTTGCTGCCTTTTTATAGCCTTAACCTGTCTCTAAAATGCAGCCACCACACCCCCTAATCTTAATTAGGGTTAGGTTAAGAGGGGGTGTGGGCTGTGGGCTGATAAAGCCCACATGGGCTGAATATGAGCCATCAGCCCAACACATGCCTGTAACACAAGATCCGAACACTTGATCTTTTGAAGAGTCGAGGATGGAGGCGTCGCAATGCATGTGAATTGCTCTGCGTGGAAAAAAAGCCTTTTTCTTTATCCTTGCAATCTTCGTTTGGAGTTTCATGCATGAAATAAACACTTGTCATTGTCTTCCTTTTGATTGTTTTAAAGTGTATGACATAAAAATCGTTGTTTTTCTATTATGTTTTGTTTTAAAAAAGAAATTATATTGTTCCTCGTCCTGCATCATAAGTTTAATTTATCTATCTTACACGTTGTATTGGGAAAAGACATCATGAAATGAAAGAACGTATAAAAACAAAAAGGTTATACTGAGCAGAGTGACTATGAAAAGGTAAATAACTATTCAATGGTTCCATGACCCTTAAAAACTGTCTCTCCTAATCCTTAATAGGAGTTTATAGTATTGTACGTGGAGAAAATAAAATTACGTGAAGACTCTCCTTCGGCATACTCTTATCTCACCTTTCAATCGTACCTCTATATCTTCTTCTATTCCCAACTCATATTTCTTCCACTACTTCTTCTTTTTAATCTTCCATCAAATGCAAGAGGCACTCAACATCCGTAAGCTCTCATGCCACCTGTTCTTGATGAATGAGAATTTTGGCTTCCCTCCGCTGATCTCCTTTTTCTGAACTTGCCATATCATATGGGTAATTCCTGTCTATTCAGAATATCATATCCTATGGGAGCCTATAAAGAATATTCTTCCTTCCATGGCAATAATGATATGGCAAGCAAATAAATGGTTGCCGAGCAACCATTGATAATGGAATGGTGAATATATTCTTTGGAATGACATTTTAATACAATTTCTAGCGACATAACAAAATATTTCAGAAAACCTTTTCTTTCTTTCTTTCTTTCTTTCTTTCTTTCTTTCTTTCTTTCTTTCAGGATTGACTAAAACTAGATGGCAGTGACGTTCTCAAGTTCATGACATCCTGTGGTGCCTCGGCCATAATATTTCTTACTTGTTTAGCAGCACAACCTACATTTCAAGATTTATACTTTGAATCTGGATATTTTTGAATGGTTGACTTGATTGGCGATCTCTTCTTTCATGTAACTTGTGCGGCCACTTCCAGGGCTCACGAAAGGACCCGAGACCGCATGAAGCAGATGTCTAAATGCTCTCAAAATGCGGAGCTTTAATCAATCGAAAGGAAGACAATGACTAGTACTTGTTTCATGCACGAAACTCCAAACAAATATTGCAAGTATAAAGAGAGAGCTTTTATTCGATGCAGAGGAATTCAAATGCATTGCAACGCCTGCATCCTCGACTCTTCAAAAGATCAACAGTGTTCGGATCTTGTGTTTACAGGCATGGCCAGTAAGTGTCACTGCTTCATCAGCAATTAACTTTCAGGCTCGCAGGAGACATCGCGAAGGCTCTGTCCCAGGCGTAGTGGAACTTGATGGACTGCGAGCTGGGGATGCCCTTGCCGTCGTTGACGACGTAGTCGGTGCCCTCCCTCCGGAACTGCTTGGGGTCGACTACTATGGAGCTGGAGAAGCCCACGGAGCGCAGGAACACGCTGGAGATAGTGCAACTACACACGTTCTTCACCTCCACCTCGAACACCTTGTCGTTGCCCGCCTTCTCTCCTGTGTTGGTCTGCTGCACCTGAATGCTGGACAGATCGCATCCCTGGCAGTCCGCTGTCAGCACAAACATTGATCAAAGCATGCGTTACGTTATCGTCGACTCGTTGATGCTTGTTGGAGGAGAGGCGAAGAAGGATACCTGTTGTAGAGATATGGAGCAGGAGTGCGGCAAAGAGGAGTAGCTTGACGACAGGAGACATCGTAGCCCTCTCTGTCTCGAGTGGGTGAAAGCCTTTACGTAGTGAATGTATATATATATAGACAGAACAAACAATAGGGTTTTGCTTTGATCACCGCTATTAGTAGCATCAAACTTACTATGTTAAAGAGTATATCATATTCTTTTAATTCCCTTTATCATGATGATTCTTACCATCATCATCAGAAGATTAGATAACATATTCTTTTAATTCCCTTTATCATGATGATTATTACCATCATCATCATCAGAAGATTAGATATTCCATCTTACTATACATCCATTAATTTATATAAATCCCACAAATGATGGGATTGATTTAATTGTTTTTCATTCTATAAATATCATTGTGATGTACACAACAAAGATATGAATAAATACAAAGTTTATTCTTCATCTTCTTCAAATCTCTTTTTCTTCTTGAAGTTCTCTTTCATGACATCACAGTAAGACACCACTTAAAGTTGAGTCGCCTGTTCCAAGATTTTTTCTTTTGATGTGACTCAAAGATGGATAGATAGATAGATAGATAGATGCTTCTAAACTCATTTGTATTATTTTCATTAACTATACTCATTGGGCTGGAGACATCTAGTATATCAATGTACAAGTAATAAGTCTTATGTCTAAGTTCATGTGTAAGATGAAAGTTTTTTGAAAAAAAAAAACACACACTTATTGGGCTAAACTATGCAAAGTTTTTTTTTTTTTTTTGCAAAGGTCCAAAGCTTTAATACTACTTCAGTAGTGATATTAAATTACCAATTGAGGAATGATTCAAAATCCTCAAAAGCATGTGAGGATCGTAGTGAGACAATAATAAACATAAAATTATTACATGGACAAGCTAGTACCTCAGTTACATCCATGTATTTTAATTGTTTCGAAACAAAATTTTGAGAGTTTTTATCTATTCATTGTGCTTCAAGATACTTAGCTCAACAATATCACATTTTCACCGGTTTGCATCATATGAAATAGTCCCTCGATCAATTTGTTAATGAGTTCTATTCTTAAATGACGTCTCTTACGGATCAACTTGCTTTGCTTGAACCTCGATGGGAATGTAAAAAGATGGCATTGTATTATTTGAGATAATCCATTTCTAATGACTTTAAAATGATGCTTTAGAGCTTGTTGGGGCCTCTTTGCTTTATCGCAAACCACTTCCTCGGATATTTTCCTTTCAAAAGTTTCGTCTCAAAAAATAGTAAGACAATATTACATGCTCATCACCCAATTAAAAATATAAAACATAATCAATACTTCCAAAAGCATTTGAACGAATCAAATCATTCTCAAAATGAAGAGCATGAAAACCTAGCTTGTAGATACTATTGTAAGATTGGACATATGATTAAGGAATGTCTTAAAATTGCTAGAAAGATGGCTATAGTAGTAACTACCGAGTCTTCATTTTTGGAAAAAAAAAAGAAAAAACCTATCGAGTCTTCCTCCATTGTCCCAATACTTTCTGATACATATGTCAAAGCCATAGTCGACCAATTTCTGTCTCGTGCATTTTCATTTTGTCTCTATAATTTTTGACATGTTAGATAATACTGCTCAACCACTTGATTTTACCTGTTCAAATCATATGACATTGAGTTCTTTGAAATTATTTTTCAGAACTTTGACATTTAATATTCCTAACATTCACACTACTAATATGTGTCAACACTTAAAGTTAGTCATGTTGGCTCAATTTCTACTTCTATCTTGATAATTTCTGATATATATATCTTGTTACTCAACTTTCATTAAACTTATTATTTATAAAGAAGATTTTGATTGTCCAACTAGGATTCTAATCAGAGCCGACCAAGATCATATTTGTGTCTCTCTTGACATGGGGTAGTATCGAATTAAAGCATTTCAACTCCATGTTGTAAAATTATGTCGGGGGCATGCCAAGCAGATCCCCTACAAAATTTAAGTTAGCTTTCGAGTCAATGGTGGTTGAATGTTGAATTTTTAAGAATCTAATATGTTAGAGAATGAGTCTCTCTAAAAATGTACTATGGGGCCTTTCTATAATGAGGTTTTGGACCATTTCATTACTGGTTGTGGTCTAGTGTGAGAGTTAGGGCATCAAGAAATTTTTGTTTGACTACCAACCATAAAGAGGATGGTTTGACTATCTTATCATAGAAAAAAACACATTGGGTTGATTCAATTACATTGGCATTGAAAAATGTGTATTGAGATAATTCAATCGTGTCATTATCAAATAGAGCACTTTGAGCCGATTTGATTACGTTATCATTGAAAAGAGTACTTTAGGTCAATTCGATAATTTTATCATTGAAAAAAATATTTTGGATCGATTTGACCACACTATTAGGCTTGGGGTGTTGGTTAGTTCAGTTCACTTATACTACTTGGGCCTCTTTTAATCGTCATTGGAGTTATGCCATGAAGTGAATCAACCAGCATATCTCCTCACATGTGAGGTGTCATTATCAATTTGACTTCCTAGAAGTGTGTCATTTTAGTAGTTACACTAGATCTAGTCTGATTTGATTCTTAATATATCGTGATGATGGTTTGACATCCTCATATGTGGCGCTAACATAGAACTTCATGGGATGATCCATCCACTTGTAGGGATTTTGAAAGATCAAAATCATGGTTCCATATAATTCTTGCCCAACTAGGGGCTGTCATCTCATTTGTCTAGGTAGATCATTGAGTAAAGGAATGGACCATCAAGGGCAG